AATTTGCTAGCATAAAAAATAAATTGTGTTCTACCTGGTCGAAAATAGTAGCAGTGAGTGTAATAAGAAACTTTCTACCAGAATCGAACCAATGACCTTTCGCTTACAAAGCGAACGCTCTACCATCTAGCTAAGAAGACAATAAAATATTCTTATGCGTTATTAATTCTTTGATAACTTGGGAATTTGCTAGCGTAAAAAACAAATTGTGTTCTATCTGGTCGAAAATAGTAGCAGTGAGTGTAATAAGAAGCCTTCTATCGGAATCGAACCAATGACCTTTCGCTTACAAAGCGAACGCTCTACCATCTAAGCTAAGAAGTCAATAAAATATTCTTATACGTTATTAATTCTTTGATAACTTGGGAATTTGCTAGCGTAAAAAACAAATTATGTTCTACCTGTTCGAAAATAATAGCAGTGAGTGTAATAAGAAACCTTCTACCGGAATCGAACCAATGACTTTTCGCTGATAAAGCAAACGCTCTACCATCTAAGCTAAGAAGGCAATAAAATATTTTTATACGTTATTAATTCTTTGATAACTTGGGAATTTGCTAGCGTAAAAAACAAATTGTGTTCTACCTGGTCGAAAATAGTAGCAGTGAGTGTAATAAGAAACTTTCTACCAGAATCGAACCAATGACCTTTCGCTTACAAAGCGAACGCTCTACCATCTAAGCTAAGAAGGCAATAAAATATTCTTATGCGTTATTAATTCTTTGATAACTTGGGAATTTGCTAGCGTAAAAAACAAATTGTGTTCTACCTGGTCGAAAATAGTAGCAGTGAGTGTAATAAGAAGCCTTCTATCGGAATCGAACCAAGGACCTTTCGCTTACAAAGCGAACGCTCTACCAATGACTTTTCGCTTATAAAGCGAACGCTCTACCATCTAAGCTAAGAAGGCAATAAAATATTCTTGTACGTTATTAATTCTTTGATAACTTGGAAATTTGCTAGCGTAAAAAACAAATTGTGTTCTACCTGTTCGAAAATAGTAGCAGTGAGTGTAATAAGAAACCTTCTACCGGAATCGAACCAATGACTTTTCGCTGACAAAGCGAACGCTACCATCTAAGCTAAGGAGGCAATAAAATATTTTTATACGTTATTAATTCTTTGATAACTTGGGAATTTGCTTGCGTAAAAACAAATTGTGATTGATTTTTGTTACAATGCAGAAAAACAATTTTTTAATTCCTGATTGGACACGTTTTACTTGTTCGAAAATAGTAGCAGTGAGTGTAATAAGAAACCTTCTACCGGAATCGAACCAATGACTTTTCGCTGACAAAGCGAACGCTCTACCATCTAAGCTAAGAAGGCAATAAAATATTTTTATACGTTATTAATTCTTTGATAACTTGGGAATTTGCTACCGTAAAAAACAAATTGTGTTCTACCTGTTCGAAAATAGTAGCAGTGAGTGTAATAAGAAGCCTTCTATCGGAATCGAACCAATGACCTTTCGCTTACAAAGCGAACGCTCTACCAATGACTTTTCGCTTATAAAGCGAACGCTCTACCATCTAAGCTAAGAAGGCAATAAAATATTCTTGTACGTTATTAATTCTTTGATAACTTGGAAATTTGCTAGCGTAAAAAACAAATTGTGTTCTACCTGTTCGAAAATAGTAGCAGTGAGTGTAATAAGAAACCTTCTACCGGAATCGAACCAATGACTTTTCGCTGACAAAGCGAACGCTACCATCTAAGCTAAGGAGGCAATAAAATATTTTTATACGTTATTAATTCTTTGATAACTTGGGAATTTGCTTGCGTAAAAACAAATTGTGATTGATTTTTGTTACAATGCAGAAAAACAATTTTTTAATTCCTGATTGGACACGTTTTACTTGTTCGAAAATAGTAGCAGTGAGTGTAATAAGAAACCTTCTACCGGAATCGAACCAATGACTTTTCGCTGACAAAGCGAACGCTCTACCATCTAAGCTAAGAAGGCAATAAAATATTTTTATACGTTATTAATTCTTTGATAACTTGGGAATTTGCTACCGTAAAAAACAAATTGTGTTCTACCTGTTCGAAAATAGTAGCAGTGAGTGTAATAAGAAGCCTTCTATCGGAATCGAACCAATGACCTTTCGCTTACAAAGCGAACGCTCTACCATCTAAGCTAAGAAGGCAATAAAATATTCTTATACGTTATTAATTCTTTGATAACTTGGGAATTTGCTAAAGTAAAAAACAAATTATGTTCTACCTGTTCGAAAATAGTAGCAGTGAGTGTAATAAGAAACCTTCTACCGGAATCGAACCAATGACTTTTCGCTGATAAAGCGAACGCTCTTACCATCTAAGCTAAGAAGGCAATAAAATATTTTTATACGTTATTAATTCTTTGATAACTTGGGAATTTGCTAGCGTAAAAAACAAATTGTGTTCTACCTGGTCGAAAATAGTAGCAGTGAGTGTAATAAGAAAGTTTCTACCAGAATCGAACCAATGACCTTTCGCTTACAAAGCGAACGCTCTACCATCTAAGCTAAGAAGTCAATAAAATATTCTTATACGTTATTAATTCTTTGATAACTTGGGAATTTGCTAGCGTAAAAAACAAATTGTGTTTCGAAAATAGTAGAAGTGAGTGTAATAAGAAACCTTCTACCGGAATCAAACCAATGACTTTTCGCTGACAAAGCAAACGCTCTACCATCTAAGCTAAGAAGGCAATAAAATATTTTTATACGTTATTAATTCTTTGATAACTTGGGAATTTGCTACCATAAAAAACAAATTGTGTTGTACCTGTTCGAAAATAGTAGCCGTGAGTGTAATAAGAAACTTTCTACCAGAATCAAACCAATGACCTTTCGCTTACAAAGCGAACGCTCTACCATCTAAGCTAAGAAGGCAATAAAATATTCTTATGCGTTATTAATTCTTTGATAACTTGGGAATTTGCTAGCATAAAAAATAAATTGTGTTTTACCTGGTCGAAAATAGTAGCAGTGAGTGTAATAAGAAACTTTCTACCAGAATCGAACCAATGACCTTTCGCTTACAAAGAGAACGCTCTACCATCTAAGCTAAGAAGGCAATAAAATATTCTTATGCGTTATTAATTCTTTGATAACTTGGGAATTTGCTAGCGTAAAAAACAAATTATGTTCTACCTGTTCGAAAATAGTAGCAGTGAGTGTAATAAGAAACCTTCTACCGGAATCGAACCAATGACTTTCGCTGATAAAGCGAACGCTCTACCATCTAAGCTAAGAAGGCAATAAAATATTTTTATACGTTATTAATTCTTTGATAACTTGGGAATTTGCTAGCGTAAAAAACAAATTGTGTTCTACCTGGTCGAAAATAGTAGCAGTGAGTGTAATAAGAAACTTTCTACCAGAATCGAACCAATGACCTTTCGCTTACAAAGCGAACGCTCTACCATCTAAGCTAAGAAGGCAATAAAATATTCTTATGCGTTATTAATTCTTTGATAACTTGGGAATTTGCTGGCGTAAAAAACAAATTGTGTTCTACCTGGTCGAAAATAGTAGCAGTGAGTGTAATAAGAAACTTTCTACCAAAATCGAACCAATGACCTTTCGCTTACAAAGCGAACGCTCTACCATCTAAGCTAAGAAGGCAATAAAATATTTTTATACGTTATTAATTCTTTGATAACTTGGGAATTTGCTAGCGTAAAAAACAAATTGTGTTCTACCTGGTCGAAAATAGTAGCAGTGAGTGTAATAAGAAACTTTCTACCAGAATCGAACCAATGACCTTTCGCTTACAAAGCGAACGCTCTACCATCTAAACTAAGAAGGCAATAAAATATTCTTATGCGTTATTAATTCTTTGATAACTTGGGAATTTGCTAGCATAAAAAATAAATTGTGTTCTACCTGGTCGAAAATAGTAGCAGTGAGTGTAATAAGAAACTTTCTACCAGAATCGAACCAATGACCTTTCGCTTACAAAGAGAACGCTCTACCATCTAGCTAAGAAGGCAATAAAATATTCTTATGCGTTATTAATTCTTTGATAACTTGGGAATTTGCTAGCGTAAAAAACAAATTGTGTTCTATCTGGTCGAAAATAGTAGCAGTGAGTGTAATAAGAAGCCTTCTATCGGAATCGAACCAATGACCTTTCGCTTACAAAGCGAACGCTCTACCATCTAAGCTAAGAAGTCAATAAAATATTCTTATACGTTATTAATTCTTTGATAACTTGGGAATTCGCTAGCGTAAAAAACAAATTGTGTTTCGAAAATAGTAGAGGTGAGTGTAATAAGAAACTACCGGAATCAAACCAATGACTTTTCGCTGACAAAGCAAACGCTCTACCATCTAAGCTAAGAAGGCAATAAAATATTTTTATACGTTATTAATTCTTTGATAACTTGGGAATTTGCTACCATAAAAAACAAATTGTGTTGTACCTGTTCGAAAATAGTAGCCGTGAGTGTAATAAGAAGCCTTCTATCGGAATCGAACCAATGACCTTTCGCTTACAAAGCGAACGCTCTACCATCTAAGCTAAGAAGGCAATAAAATATTCTTATACGTTATTAATTCTTTGATAACTTGGGAATTTGCTAGCGTAAAAAACAAATTATGTTCTACCTGTTCGAAAATAATAGCAGTGAGTGTAATAAGAAACCTTCTACCGGAATCGAACCAATGACTTTTCGCTGATAAAGCAAACGCTCTACCATCTAAGCTAAGAAGGCAATAAAATATTTTTATACGTTATTAATTCTTTGATAACTTGGGAATTTGCTAGCGTAAAAAACAAATTGTGTTCTACCTGGTCGAAAATAGTAGCAGTTAGTGTAATAAGAAACTTTCTACCAGAATCGAACCAATGACCTTTCGCTTACAAAGCGAACGCTCTACCATCTAAGCTAAGAAGGCAATAAAATATTCTTATGCGTTATTAATTCTTTGATAACTTGGGAATTTGCTAGCGTAAAAAACAAATTGTGTTCTACCTGGTCGAAAATAGTAGCAGTGAGTGTAATAAGAAGCCTTCTATCGGAATCGAACCAATGACCTTTCGCTTACAAAGCGAACGCTCTACCAATGACTTTTCGCCGCTCTACCATCTAAGCTAAGAAGGCAATAAAATATTCTGTACGTTATTAATTCTTTGATAACTTGGAAATTTGCTAGCGTATAAAACAAATTGTGTTCTACCTGTTCGAAAATAGTAGCAGTGAGTGTAATAAGAAACCTTCTACCGGAATCGAACCAATGACTTTTCGCTGACAAAGCGAACGCTACCATCTAAGCTAAGGAGGCAATAAAATATTTTTTATACGTTATTAATTCTTTGATAACTTGGGAATTTGCTTGCGTAAAAACAAATTGTGATTGATTTTTGTTACAATGCAGAAAAACAATTTTTTAATTCCTGATTGGACACGTTTTACTTGTTCGAAATAGTAGCAGTGAGTGTAATAAGAAACCTTCTACCGGAATCGAACCAATGACTTTTCGCTGACAAAGCGAACGCTCTACCATCTAAGCTAAGAAGGCAATAAAATATTTTTATACGTATTAATTCTTTGATAACTTGGGAATTTGCTACCGTAAAAAACAAATTGTGTTCTACCTGTTCGAAAATAGTAGCAGTGAGTGTAATAAGAAGCCTTCCTATCGGAATCGAACCAATGACCTTTCGCTTACAAAGCGAACGCTCTACCATCTAAGCTAAGAAGGCAATAAAATATTCTTATTACGTTATTAATTCTTTGATAACTTGGGAATTTGCTAACGTAAAAAACAAATTATGTTCTACCTGTTCGAAAATAGTAGCAAGTGAGTGTAATAAGAAACCTTCTACCGGAATCGAACCAATGACTTTTCGCTGATAAAGCGAACGCTCTACCATCTAAGCTAAGAAGGCAATAAAATATTTTTATACGTTATTAATTCTTTGATAACTTGGGAATATGCTAGCGTAAAAAACAAATTGTGTTCTACCTGG